CAAGAGAAAAGAGAAGGACTCCGTCTTGGCACTAGCAACCCGTAGCACTGAGCGTGAGCCTCGCGAACGCTTCGAACCAAGCTTTATAAAGCAGCTAGGTAACGCGAAGGCTGAGGTCGATTGCTTTACTAATGAGAGTACAGTGAAGACACTGAAGGCCTTTGACCAACTTAAGGAGTCTGTCAGCCTTATGGATAAGCAGATGATGAATGCCTTTATTCATTTCTGTGAGTCAGAGGAATGGAAAACTATCTTGAAGGCCCATGAGCCCAACTGGAAAGTGCGTGAGAATATACTTAAAACGCCGTCTTTGAAGATGCACGTGACCGTGAACTTCTAGAGTCTCGCAAGTCCTTTGCAAACAATACTACTATTCGAGGTGCTCTAGCTCATATGACACATATGAACACTCGGATGGGAGGTCGTACCTATACTGGCGAATATTTATTAATTTGTCAGATGATGGAGACTCTGGGGGCTGACCTTTTTAAGAAGGTCAATGGTGATATCATCGCCTATGGTGATTTGCGATCTATGCCTTGGTCTGTCTTTGAGAAGATAGTTCAAAAGCATACCAACCCATCTACTAGAGTGCTTAGTGCCGTGAGCTTTACCCAGCCCGCTAAGCGTACCGCGATAGAGAATAACACTACGCGTAATACTAAGAAACCTCGCACTACTGCCGGAGGTGGTAAAGGCTCTACTTCTACTGAACCAAAGGGTGAAAGGAAGGAGAGAGCACCTTGCAAGAAGCGTGGTTACAACCTCACTAAACGTGATGGCAAGTGGAATGGTAAACACGACTCTGTTAAGTGTGCACCAGGCAAGCCAAACTTTGGACACTATATGAAAGAGTGTACTACTTGCAAGGGTACTAACGGTTGGCACAAAGATGATTGCAAGGACATACCGGGCGTTCAAGTTAAGCACTGACAGTTCCATATGTGTGCACTAGAGCAAGATTATGAGAAAAAGTTCAATAAATTCTATACCAAAGATGATGAACGTATATTTCAAACCGTTTATGTAAATGGAGAAAAAAGTTATAGCACTTTTTGATCCAGGGGCTGAAGTCTCTGCTATCTCACGTGGCTATCCATAACGAAACAACTAATTTAATCTTGGGAAATGACAAGGTTACCGCCTGCGAAGAAGCCATTGACT